GGAGAGAGAACTCCACAAAGAAGCGGTCCTTTTGAAGCAGATGCTACAATCAGTTGTCAATTTATTAGCCCAGCTAACGCCAATGGAGTCTGATGCAACAGTCCACCAATAAATAAATAAATCCTCCCTTTATTATGGTTAAAATCAGAGAGGTGTTTCTGTTATTTGGCCTACCATCACTGATATGTATGAGGTGAACAAAAAAACACACACTTCTCAATATAGCACAATATCACAGAATCCCTACAATGTACTGTGTCCCCACAATGTGACTAATACAAAAAAAGTGTGCACACACCTTTATACATCCACTAGTTGTTAAGAGGATTTTTGTCTGTTCTGACATTTTCTTCAGTTGACTTCCAATATGGTGCCAATCTTGGGAAATGGTTTACTCTTACAATGCCTCACTTAAACCTCTATATATTTGAATGACCAATTAGTTGCATCCTAATCTTAAACATATTTAAGATGAATCCTAACATATTTATCATTAATTCCTTTTCCCCACATTGTCTGAAAGAAGGAAGGTGAGGACCAGCCAAACATACAGATCATTAAAATGAGAAAAAGTGGGCATCTACCTCTGTGTTGTGATGACCTTGACTGGCTCCGGCTGAGGGCGTAACTGAAGACTGCTGACTGTCTGACTCACTGGAGCGAAGAACACTGTCCAGCGAGTCCATGGAAGAAGCAGAGTTAACGGAAACCCCGGATGCCGAGGTGACGGAGGAGCGCGAGGAGTGAACAATCGAACGCACCTGAAGTGAAGGGAAAGAGAAGAGAAATCAGAGCTCAGAAAACAGGGCCAGATTGTCAGTTCATCAGCTTAAAATACTGATTTGGCAGTATGGAGAGAGGTTTTAGTATGCGGTACAATTTTTCAAGCTCTCTCGGTCAAACTTAAATAAATAAACCTCACATTTATTGTCATTATTATACTTTATTTTTATTCATAAACTGTAAACATAAAATGACTGAGGTCACTTTGAAGCGTAGTTTACCTCATGGTCGCTGACTGTGCCAACTGATCCAGTGCGTCGATGCTGGCGCTGAGAGGACGCAGGCCGTCGCATTGTGGCGGATGTATAGGAGGAAGCGGAGCTAAGAGAGTGGGAGGAGGTCTGACGAGCAGCTTCATCCATACTAAGAGATGCCTGATGGGTAAAGCAGAGACAGAGGACAGAAGGTAAAGCTGGGCTCAAATATACAAAACAAACAG